AAAATCAACTTGTTATGAAATGGTTAGAACCCAGCCAACTTGGCATAGAGCATGGTAGAGCTATGACCCAACATTGACTTAAAAAAAGCTCATAAAAAACCGAAGTAACAATTGGTTAATACAGTATATTATTCTGCACAGGAAATAAAACAACAAAAAATAAATGAACACCAAATAAGAATAATATAGTGAATCATGTCTGGGAGTGGCAAACAAACATAAATAAGAATCCTGTGAACATCAATCAAAGATGCAAACACTTTAAAACACAGAAATAAAAATAGAAGTAAAAGAGTGGTAACGACAATTATACTGTACACAATTATTTTTAATTATTAAATATCACCATGTTATGACGTACTGGGTAAACTTTAAGTCTCCAACTTAAGCCACACACATTCAATGCTGCACTGTACACTGGATCTGCTTTATGTTGAAGTCCTCTGAAATAATTGACATTTATAAACATTTTCACTACTAAAGCATTAAAATTCAGTAAAAACATGTAGATAACACATTAATTATTTAATAATATAATAGCCAAAATACTGAAATTTATAATTATGTATAGTTTATGTTGATGTTAATAGCCCTTTAGATTTGTAGAAACAAAAGAATGATTACATAATTATATTTAGAAGAATTAAGCTTCATAATATAAAACATAAGGATATATTGTATACTTTAGTGATAAAACTGAGAGGAAAACTTACACAAATCCTGTTAATACAAATTTACTACTGTCATATGCTGGCACTAGTTCACTGAAAGGAAGACAAATATAATATTTATACCAAATACAACTAAATTGTTATATTTTACCTTTTTCAAAAATATTTATACATACAATTATATATTTATAAAAACTACAACAAAAAAAATATATAAAATACATAACAATATTTTAATCATATTTATTTTACTATTGTATTTCTTATATTTTAACAATAATATAGAGGGTATACAATTATTGTATTGCCATCAACACATTGTATATCTACTGTACAACATTTATTTATACTTTGGAACACGGAAAAACAAAGTTGCTTTCTTAACACAATGGTCGGCATGAAATTCAAACTGCTGATAAGTTAAGAGGCTGAAATGCATCCGCTGTGGTCATCGCTTTCACAATAACCCTGGATTCCATGAAATTGCTACACACCATATGAGAACTGTCAGCAATGCTGATTGGTTGGCTGAATCAGGGAGCCTTTCTGACTTTGTCTGGGATAGCTACCCAGTGTAGGAATTGCAGTGAAAACACTGTAGCGACAGTGTAACTATTTCATGGCAACCCAAACTTTAGCTGTCATGGATCTAATGCACTGTGATCACTAATACCCATTTCACACTGATGCTATTTTGCAAATATTAACAACTTGTAACAAGGTTTGGATGAGTGTGAAAGCAAATCCTTGTAAAACTTTCCAAGATTTCACAGGGGTCCCCTGAGTTATCTCGGAACAAAAACAGACCATCGCGAGGCCTGTTTTTTCCCGAAATCTTCCGAGTTGTTGTTGCGCATGCGTCATGTCCATATTTTGACCTTTCGCGGGCTGTGTTTTTTGTTTTGTTTAGTTCGAACGAATGACTGCAGCGATGGAAAACGTATCAACATTACTACCATTTGTTAATAGGCCTAGACCTAAAATCAAAAGAAATCTCGCTAAATTTCACGTCTGATGTAGAAACAATCACGAGGCTTCGTAAAATACGCCAACAGCGAATCATTATGATGCTTGTCGCACTGATTGCCTCTAACAACAATGGTGAGCTACCGGCCGACGGCCCGACTGCGCCTAGCTAGCCTAGGCCTATCTTTCTCTCCAGCTCGACTACAGCAAGTGAGCTAGGAGTTGAATTCGTTTTACTCTCCGAAGGCTAAGGACCATGGAATAATTATAATCTTGTTAATTCGGTACCAGGCCTAGTTTAGTACAGTAGTTGATATGTAATTCGAACAACCTACAACTAGCCTAGGCCTACTACTACTAGTACTACCCTAGGCCTAGTCATTATTCTTCCGAGTTTTCCCCAGATTTCTCATGGTTTGAAAGTGCATGTGTGAAACGAACCAAATATCAAACTTGTTACAACTTGTTAATAATTGTTAAAAGTTGTAATATTTTCTGCTAGTGTGAAATGGGTATAATATTTTTTTAAGGATCGTGAAAATTGGAAGCAGAAACTGAATTTAATGTTGCACTATACCTGGTGAAGTCTGCAGCTACAGGCGCAGTCACAAAAGATGCCATGGGTTTCCTGTGTACCTGTGTGAACATTTGTAAGAGCTCTCCACTCTTGCTGATCAGCTCACTCCTAGTGCAGAGTCGCAGCTGGTGTTCCACCTCTTGCAGTAAAGATTCCAGTAGCTCCGTTTCCTGAGTCAAAGAGTTCTTTTGTCCTGAATGAGACATAATTTTTTAACTCAATGAGAATGTATTATATGAGAACTTTTAAAAGTTTAGGCATTTTATAAGGTGATGATAGTAAGAAGTCTCAACAGAAGGTAACTATAGCAAGCCTCCTACTGACTTCCAGAGGACATTAAAAGCAGTGCAAGATAGTCCAACTATGAAAGAGAAACCATTATCTATCTCCCTGTCACCCCTAGAGAAATAACCAAAACCTTAAATGTGGCAGCACTTGTTAGATGCCCACTGACAGGCATCAATCATTACTTCTTGGAAATCCCATTTTTAAGGAGAAATACAGTTAAGAAAGGTATCAGGTTATACTTACCCATTAATGTTATCAATTTTGATTTTAGTTGTGTTTCTAATCTAGCTATCATCATTTCCACAGCGTTCCGAATCTCACGGACGCGTTCATCTTTAGCACTGCGAACACTTTCCACATTTCGTTCCTGGAAAGTACAATGAATGATTTATAAAACAATGAAGATAAGCACACTATGACATATCTTGTATTAATATTACTAATTAAAATTAATTTTTACCCTACACAACACTGTCAAGGTGCCTTAGATCTGTGGAGATCTGTGGGAAATATCTTAATTTGATCATGTGATCTCATCATCAGTGCTTCTTATAAGCTTCAAAATAAGTCTACTAAAGATAGTCAACTGGAAGTTCATTTTTTGTACAGTGAATTATCTACAACAATAAAATATATGAATACAATTTCCGTAGTTTCATAATCATCACGATTAGTAGGGGAAAGCGGTTTGGCTCAGCATATTCCATTCAGATTCTGAACCTTGTGGTCAAGAGTTCTCAGCCAGCCATGCTTGGATAACCCCGGCTTGCACTGTTCATGGGATGTGAAGTAGTTTGCGCGATGTTCCATCACTAGGTGCGAGTATTTAATGGCTTATAAACTCAAATAAAAATACATTAAAGCCCCATTCCCGGCAAAATTTCACTAAAAATGACTTTTTTTTAGAAAATATGCATTTGCATTACTCCAATTATTATAAATCATGGAAAAATATTGGCATGAATTTTAGTTTTACGTAAAAGAATAAAAAAAAAAGAGAAATACAGACTATTTCTCATAAAATATTACCATTTTCTCGACGAATTCATCGTTACTAGGCAAATTCAGAGGTTGTAGATCGCATCCACTGGAATACTCTCGCTTTTATGTATACTTTATACAGTCAATAAAGTGCGCCCTCTCTAATGAGATTACTTTTTGTACATCGCATCTCGCACAATGCTGTCGTTCGGTTAGGCTGAGATATGTTTGTTTAAGTGTCAAAATCTCAGTCAGAATCAGTTTTTT